AACATGCAGTGGGTGGCCACCTTAGACAATTTTGAATGAAATACTATTGTGCACATTTTCAAATAGAAAGGCAGTTTGCATACTAAACTGAAAAATTAGCACCACACGTCTGCTCAGCTCCAAAACAAATTGACACGTTCTCAAGACTTTGACTTACAAAATAAGTATCAGAAAGCCTGACAAATACATAAAAAAGAACCCTTAACACAGCGCACAAACATTTTTAATGTAACAGTATTCCACGGTTTGTCCCACTGAAACTAATACTTGCATAATTTTTAAAAAATCCAACAACACTATAAACAAGATAATACAAAATATAACGAAATGAGTACAATCACAGCGAGTACTTTCCGCGGGGAGTAGTTTAGTCTTGAGCACTGATCATACATCAAGCTTTAGTGATTATGACAGTGCAGAAACATACTCATCGTAAAAGACAGACAGCGAGTTCAATCCTGTTTCTCTTGTACTCAGCAACACAGATAGAAATTTCTCTTCTTTCCCTAATTCCACTCTCTTGCACGGCACTTTTCAAACAATGCACAATAACTTTTGTAATACTAAGTTTCTCTTCACTTTGAACAAAACTTCCAAGCGTGTAACTTAAGCGAAGCATTGTCTTCACCATGGCTAAAATACTGGAATCCAATAGGTACTGGCTGTATAGTTCATTATAATCAAACTTCACAACACTTCCACCTGCTGCTAAATGACCATACTTAGGAAAACCATTTATTGATTTACACACAAGACTCTCAACCTCCAGTATTTCTAAATCACACATTGAGCCACAATTTTTGAGGAGAGACACAAATTTAAATTCAAATTCCAGGGATCTAGCTGGTGCTAAAATGTTGATTTTTCAATTTTTTCACCCCGAGACAGAAAAGTATGTCCTGAACACATTGAGCTAGGTCCCAAACTTGCAGAGTGAGTAGAAAAGGGGTTCAAGTAAGTCTGACTAGGCAAAGGATCTTCAATTTTTCAGAATGCTGGTGCCAAATATGAAACTAATACAAGCATTTAGAAAACACCCACAAGTCATTCCCATGTTTCCCCCCCCCCCCCTCCATAAAAATCTAAATTTTTAGGGAGGGTCGGGTTTCAATAATCATTTCTTAAAATCTACATTTCCACTCCTTTTGAAACTTTGCATGCTCATTTGTAAGTGCGTGTTGCTTCTTACTTCAGACGGATTTATAGATAATTAAACAAATGCCATTGTGAGAAATTTAAAACAAAAACATTTTTTTGGAAATGGAGCAGGATTTTTCTTTGTTATAGTTTTTTTCCACTCATCATGCAATCACACACCTGCCAAAACTGTCATCCCTCTACCAAAAGTTCCTTCTGTGGTTAGCTCGTGTAAGTTGTTACTCACAGCAAATTTAAATATTGTATAAAAGACGAGTAATTTGAAACCCAGATTACACCATTTTGAGGGCTCGAGACCCTAATCTTATCCCATGCAGGAACTAAATGAGTGAAGGGTTGAAGAGTCTTTCAAAATATTTTAGTTAACCCCACTTACCACTAGGAAATCACTTAAAGCTGTATTTCATCCGTACATAAAATTGTTGTGGTCTCAGAGTGTCACTGACTGTCACCCCTCCCCAAAGCAGCTTCACAGAGGAAATTAAAAAAAACCAAAAAACAAACAACAAACAAATAAAAATACCATAACAAATAAAACCCAAACATTTCCAGTTATCTTTGGTCATCAACTGTCAAGTCATTTGCCAATGAGATTTTGTCATGGGAAACGCTAAACTAGCACACAATTTAATCTACTTCTTTGTGTTTCAAGAAAACACTCAACTATCGAAGTAAACATGCACTACTCACGACCAATAAGCTCATGGATGAGATTTCTGGCTTTGAATCTAATGCAGAATTCTCAAATTCTCATTCCTCCCAATAGGGAACTTGATGACTTGGCAGCAACTCCGCAGCCAAGTAATTACAAGCAGCAGTTTGATAAAAATCATACACAAACTTGAAGTAAAAGCATCTATTAAATGCAAAGCATTCATTAAATGCAAGGTGACAGATGCCATCAAATTCTAACATGAGGACAATGAGCAGTTCACAGGGAAAATATTGCATTTGTCATAAAACAATTTGAACAGAACTTTTCAATAATGGAGAGAGAGGAAGAAAATAAAGATGTACTGAAGCAACTTGAGTTAATTAAACTATGGCACTCTGATGGAGAGGACACGAGTATTCATTATCATGAACAATGTGAGTTTTTTGTTCCAAAAAATAACAACAGTCAATTTGCTCTGAAAACACAAGAAACCATAGGGGAAGAAATCAACTGTTTTATATATGGATTCATGAAAGGGGAGGTCGACAGAACAGCAGGAAAATAAAGACACATCACAGCAGTACAAAACAGACTTGATTTAGGTGAGCTTGGAGTGCTTTACTCATGCACTTAAGAATTTTTCCTTCACTCTGTCCCTATCATGTGTTAAATTTAAGTCTTTCAGATAAACATATAGCAATGCATTTACAGTCAATACTTTCTTAGTTTCAGCTTGAATTTGCACTCTCATTTATAATATTTTCTGATATCCAGAAAATCACCTATAGCCTGTCAGAACAAATTTTACCCCAACATCTCAAAACAGAAAGCAGAAAACTATAGCCAATACAAAGGTTTATTTTGAAGTGAGATAAGTAGAAGGAACTGATGTGAAATAAGACATAAGGCAGAGGTAATAGAGATAATGTGAAGAGGAAAAAACAAACCCAGCCATACAAGCATCCTTGAAGCTGAAGAATAACATGGAATATACGAACAAAAGAAATTCAAAATTCAAACACATGCGCTATAGCAACAATCTTCCTCTGTTTCCACTTTTTAACAACAGCATGGGATTGACGCAGATACTTGGCAGGTGGGCTTTCACAAATAACACAAAGACAAATCCAGTGGAGGGGAGCCCTCAAAGAGCCAGTACAACAGATGGAAAGAGAAGTGTAAAAGATGCATCACTTCCATGACCCCATTCTGACTTCATGGCAAAAACTTTCTGGCCATCTACCTGTGGTACACAAAAGATAACCGATGCATATCTTCTCGACCACATCACATTTACAAACTGGTAACTCAGCACATGTATCTTGAGGAAAAAATGCTTGTACGAGCAACATATCACGAGGAAAAGATGCTATTAAGGCATCTGATAGCAAACCAACAAAATAGCAACTCTTTCAAACAAGTTACTTTTTGATGGGCATAATCATTCCGTTCTCATTCAATAAAAAAAAAAAGTGCCATGTGCAGTCTAATTCCTCTTCAAAGTATTCCGTTTGTAAAGATTATTTTCAATGAACTCAAGATGCTGACATGAATCACTATCTAAATACTAAATATCTAACGTTAAGCAGCAAAACTCTGGACTAAAAACAAATTTTCTAGAGACAACTTTCCCTGACAACCCTTCTTTTTAAAGTAAATTTTCAGCATCAGTAACAGAGCACTCCTTCCTGAGTGCGCACCCGAGACAAGCGAGCCCTTCAGTAGACTGGCGACAAGCCAGAACAGACTGAGAGTTCCTTGGAAAGACCAGCTCCAGAGAAACTCTGACACAACAAACTCAGAGACTCAATAAAAGACTTATATATGTGTGTGTGAAGGAGGTGTAAAGGTTCTGGAGTGGAATGTCAGTAGACATGCAGATGCGACAGTCAGTCATATAACCCCCCCACCCCAGGCTACCAAATAGCAATAGAAGTAAATCTTTGTAATGAATTTGCATGCTGGTCTCTGGAAACCAACACAGCTGTACGCTAGGCCCTTGGCTACAAGATAACTTGTTAAGCAAACAATACATCAAATGAAACTGGCATGCATTTGAGCCAATCAGCCTTTTTTACACCGCACACACTGGTACTTGCAATTAACTATTAAAAAGCTCTCATTGCTTTCAATTTGTGTGTATGTGCGTGTGTGTGTGAGCGTGTGTGTGTGTGTGTGTGCGCGTGTGTGTGTGCGTGCACACTTGTGTGTGCATGCGTTGAAACACCAAACCAATGTGCCAGGATCTGGACAATAAACATGTATCTTCTAACACTCAAATTCAACCAAATTGAAGGTCAGGCGCCACAACGTCTCAGTATCCCAGTTTCACTGTGCACACATATCAAACACACACATATATACATAAACCAACATGTGCACATATGTTTATATATATATATGTAACATTCTTTCCTGGGAACAATTAGGAAATATGCTTCCTCAAATACAGAGCAGATAGAATCAAACCAGGATTTCTAAAATTGCGTAAGAGATATAAGACAACTTCTTAGACAAAGAAAATAATTTCAACAGGCCCAACTTTGAGCCAGGATGAAGGTAAGAAAGAAATTCATTTTTACCAACTTTGATGTACAATAGGTTTTGTTTGTTGAAGAGCCCTTCAAATGCATAACACCATAACAAGAAGGGAAGCTGAGAAGAGAGAAAAGCCAATAACCAGAACACTTGTATCTTTATAAGGAATCTATAACATTTTACAACCAGCAAAAATAAATGAATACATCAAAACTAACTTGCTGAGAATCAATGAAATCAATGATGCATCCGTAGCTTGCTGTGTTGCCACAACAATATTAATGGGCCACATTTCAATAACCAATTTGCACCTTACATATACGGAGAAGCAAGTAATGCCAATTCTTTCACTCAAGAGATAAAGTTTGAGAAAACTCAATCCACACTGGCGAGTCTACATAGACATGCTCAGCTCTGTGCCCCCGATGCTGTCAAAAGAGAGAGTAAAACGAAACATTAACCCTATCTGTACGCCCTGGGGTTATTTTGTACCCCCGTGGTCGTTTTCTTCACATTGTAGAATACTTTTAGTGCGAAGATCTCTTTGAAACTTTCAGTGTTTCTAAAAAAATCATTTTGATAGACAGCTATGCAAAGTGTACGGAACGGATTAACAAGTAAATTTCCAGTTTGGAAAGTGGTGGCACAGAGTTCCCCATGTCGTATGGATTACAATAGTAAAACACGACGTACGGGTAGGGTGAAAACAGAAAAAAGAACAGTTAGATTCTGGTAATGCCTTTACAAATATGGTACCAGGACTGGCATAAGCCACATATGAAAAAGTCCCTGAAGATACGGAAAGGAGTACAGCGTCAAGTCACAAGAGACGAAGCGTTATGGCGGTAGGGTGAAAGGTGGTGGGGGTGAATGCAGCCGTACAATCAACTCAGGTGTGCTGCATGCTCTGCCTGGCCCGGACCTCCTGGACAATTATGCATGCGACTGTCTGATGTACACAACCTGGGGACGAGCATTGACCCTGAAAAACAAAGACACAATAGAAAAATCATCAGATGTTTATTTATATTATTGATGTTCAGTCACAGCTTATGGCCAACCAGCATGATAATGGCCCGAAACAGAATAAAACAATGCACGGAACAGATCAAACCACCACACCATTTACACACACACACCGTTACCAGTCGATGATGGAAAAGCATTTTTTTTTTTTTTAATGACTTTAATTAATGCCCTACCAGACAAAAATACCCCCCCCCCCCTCCCACCAGGGCAGTGTTACTGATTGAAGTTGTCTTTAGGCCATTCCCAAAGGGGGGATATGAACATGTTCTTATGCACAGTAGAATTGTGAATGGCTTGATTTATCAATGTCAGGCTCATACTCTGCCGGAACAACATAGGGGGAAACTGCAGGTTTTTCTTTCCTCATCCTTACTATCGTCATTTTTTCTCTACTTCTTTTGTATGTTTGTCACTCTCTTGTGAACTTCTATTTCCGGGGTGTCTTGATAGTCGACGCAGACTTTGTGTTGTTGAGGCTAGAGAGGTGAGCAGAGTAAGCCTGATTCCGTGTCTGGACTTCTCTGTTGACATACAGCTCTTGGCGCTCATGTGACCATTTGCAGTTGTGGGCGCCGTATAACCTTACTAAAACTAAAACCAAGACAAAAATACATTATTTTGAAGGCAGGCTTTACGCTTTCAAGTTTTAGAGGCTAATTTTGTACTGAGCCAGAGCTTCAGATAACACGGACAAGAAAGAAAATTGAACAGAAGACACAGTATATACAAAGAAAATATGGCACCTCTACCTCAGAAAGGCTGTGGAATACGATTATCATTTCACTGACCAGTTTAGTTCTCATAGGAGTTTTATGGCACTTGCAACACAGGAACTTCATATAAGTGCTGAAGATTAGAAGTGTTACAAGAGAGTAACAAACACAAAAGGAGGAGAGATAAGGATGATAGATATTTGACAGGAAAGAATCAGCACACGCACCAGAGCACCCGTCAACTCCCCC